GTCTGTCATTATCCAGTCTAGACACATGTAAGGGGTGTGTATAACAGGTCTGTCATTATCCAGTCTAGACACATTTTAGGGGTGTGTATAACAGGTCCGTCATTATTAAGTCTAGATACATGTTAGGGGTGTGTATAACAGGTCTGTCATTATCCAGTCAGATACATGTAAGGGGTGTGTATAACATATCCGTCATTATCCAGTCTAGATACATGTAAGGGGTGTGTATAACAGGTCTGTCATTATCCAGTCTAGATACATGTTAGGGGTGTGTATAACAGGTCCGTCATTATTAAGTCTAGATACATGTTAGGGGTGTGTATAACAGGTCTGTCATTATTAAGTCTAGATACATGTTAGGGGTGTGTATAACAGGTCTGTCATTATCCAGTCTAGACACATGTTAGGGGTGTGTATAACAGGTCTGTCATTATTAAGTCTAGATACATGTTAGGGGTGTGTATAACAGGTCTGTCATTATCCAGACTAGATACATGTAAGGGGTGTGTATAACAGGTCTGTCATTATCCAGAGTAGATACATGTAAGGGGTGTGTATAACAGGTCTGTCATTATCCAGTCTAGACACATGTAAGGGGTGTGTATAACATGTCTGTCATTATCCAGACTAGATAAATGTAAGGGGTGTGTATAACAGGTCTGTCATTATCCAGTCTAGATACATGTAAGGGGTGTGTATAACAGGTCTGTCATTATCCAGTCTAGATACATGTAAGGGGTGTGTATAACAGGTCTGTCATTATCCAGTCTAGATACATGTAAGGGGTGTGTATAACAGGTCTGTCATTATCCAGTCTAGATACATGTAAGGGGTGTGTATAACAGGTCTGTCATTATCCAGTCTAGATACATGTAAGGGGTGTGTATAACAGGTCTGTCATTATCCAGTCTAGATACATGTAAGGGGTGTGTATAACAGGTCTGTCATTATCCAGTCTAGATACATGTAAGGGGTGTGTATAACAGGTCTGTCATTATCCAGTCTAGATACATGTAAGGGGTGTGTATAACAGGTCTGTCATTATCCAGTCTAGATACATGTAAGGGGTGTGTATAACAGGTCTGTCATTATCCAGTCTAGATACATGTAAGGGGTGTGTATAACAGGTCTGTCATTATCCAGTCTAGATACATGTAAGGGGTGTGTATAACAGGTCTGTCATTATCCAGTCTAGATACATGTAAGGGGTGTGTATAACAGGTCTGTCATTATCCAGTCTAGATACATGTAAGGGGTGTGTATAACAGGTCTGTCATTATCCAGTCTAGATACATGTAAGGGGTGTGTATAACAGGTCTGTCATTATCCAGTCTAGATACATGTAAGGGGTGTGTATAACAGGTCTGTCATTATCCAGTCTAGATACATGTAAGGGGTGTGTATAACAGGTCTGTCATTATCCAGTCTAGATACATGTAAGGGGTGTGTATAACAGGTCTGTCATTATCCAGTCTAGATACATGTAAGGGGTGTGTATAACAGGTCTGTCATTATCCAGTCTAGATACATGTAAGGGGTGTGTATAACAGGTCTGACATTATCCAGTCTAGATACATGTAAGGGGTGTGTATAACAGGTCTGTCATTATCCAGTCTAGATACATGTAAGGGGTGTGTATAACAGGTCTGACATTATTCAGTCTAGATACATGTAAGGGGTGTGTATAACAGGTCTGTCATTATCCAGTCTAGATACATGTAAGAGGTGTGTATAACAGGTCTGTCATTACCCGAACACATTCGTTGCTGTTTGTTCACAGAATTTAACGGATTGGTCAGTAGGATCTTCAATTTGACCAAGGCAAACCTGGATTACCTACAGCTGGAGGAGTCGACGTGGGTCGGTCAGTTCAGGCAAGCTATGAACGTCAATGGCGGCGAAATTGAAGAGGCCAGTTTCGTGGACTACATTCTTCACTTCCTAACCTTCTTCTGGAAAGTAAGCTTATCTAGGTTAAAAGTTTGTATAGCAAATTATATCACAGGGGAGATAATTACCCCTGAGTAGTCATTTGCTACAGGGAAGACATTTACCACAAAGGAGACATTTATTATACAGGGCGTGTTGTTATCCATATTGTGAGTGATATAAAGCAAAAATATTGTAGTCACATGTCTTGTGACTGTGTACCTATGAAGTTACGTGTCTTGTGTCTGTAAAACTATGAAGTCACATGTCTTGTGACTGTATACCTATGAAGTTACTTGACTTGTGTCTGTAAAACTATGAAGTCACATGTCTTGTGACTGTATACCTATGAAGTTACGTGTCTTGTGTCTGTACTATTAAGCCACATGTCTTGTGACTGTATACCTATGAAGTTACTTGTCTTGTGTCTGTAAAACTATGTAGTCACATGTCTTGTGTCTGTGTAACTATTAAGCCCCATGTCTTGTGACTGTATTACTATGAAGTCACATGTCTTGTGTCTGTGTAACTATTAAGCCACATGTCTTGTGACTGTATACCTATGAAGTTACTTGTCTTGTGTCTGTGTAACTATGAAGTCACATGTCTTGTGTCTGTGTAACTATTAAGCCACATGTCTATATACAACTGTTCACAGGTCCTGTTTGCCCTCGTACCTCCACCAAAGTACTTAAACGGATGGCCGGCCTTCCTCATATCCCTGGCGGTCATTGGGTTCATGACAGCCATCATCGGCGACTTGGCCGGAATCTTCGGCTGTTTGATCGACCTACCGGACAGTATCACCGCAATCACATTCGTCGCTCTAGGAACCAGTGTGCCGGACACATTCGCTAGTAAGCACGCCGCAACCAATGAGAAGACAGCAGACAGCTCCGTGGGTAATATCAATGGTAGTAACTCTGTCAACGTGTTCCTGGGAATAGGACTGCCCTGGACCATCGCTTCCATCTACTGGCTGGTCAAAACTGTAAGTCGCTTCTAACGTCTCAATCTATTGAATGGTCAAAACTAAACGTCATACCCAGTGTCTCTTCTAGTGAATGGTCAAAATCATACGTCATGCTCAGTATCTATTCTAGTGAATGGTCAAAACTACTGTATGGTCAAAACTATACAGCATGTCCAGTTTCTCTTCTACTGTATGGTCAAAACTAATCGCCATAACCAGTGTCTCTTCTACCGAATGATCAAAACAATACGTCATGCCCAGTGTCTCTTCTACCGAATGGTCAAAACAATACGTCATGTCCAGTGTCTCTTTTACTAGATGATTAAGTTGTACGTCAAAGCCGTTATCAAAGTTAATAACATGACCTTTTACTTTGTATCGTTTTTCATGTATGTATTATAAATAATGACAAATAAAAGTTCGTGTATTAAAATTATGCATTAAGGACAAAATCATGATAAGGTTATGTGTAACACTCGATTGATAGAGGATATGGTTACGTGGTTCTGCTCCAGTGTTACACTCCATTGATAACGGATATGGTTACGTGGTTCTGCTCCAGTGTTACCCTCCATTGATAACGGATATGGTTACGTGGGTCTGCTCCAGTGTTACACTCCATTGATAACGGATATGGTTACGTGATTCTGGTCCAGTGTTACTTGCTGTCTTTGAGAGGACTTTGATCCATTATAATCCACGGAGTGACATGAGATAAATTAATGTCTCTCTTAAAATTGAAGTAAAGCATATAATATTTCCTTTTTTTTTTCTTTCTAAGGGAGAAGATTTCCAGGTCCCCGCAGGATCGCTGGCGTTCACCGTCATCATCTATACAATAGCTGCCATTCTAGCTATCCTCTTCCTCATAATAAGGCGCAACCTGTCTATTTTTGGCAATGCCGAGCTTGGTGGGCCCACCATACCAAAGTACGTCAGCAGCTTCTTCTTCGTTACCCTCTGGGTTCTCTATATCCTCCTCTCTTCGTTGCAAGCCACAGGGAAAATCTCATTCAACTTGTGATTGACCGGAAGTGATTAACTTGACCATGAAATGATTCCCAGCAGTGCTAGTAACACCAGGAAAGTTGCATAAGTGAAACCAGCCTTACAGCCCTCATGCCAATAACGACAGCCTTAAGAATACTCCGAATAATATTTTATATATAATGTCTATCAATGACTTTACAGACAGGTTTGACTCTAGGCCAGTTTGGAAGGTGTTGTCCAAAGGTCACGAAAGATTTTTAGTATGCATGGTTGTTCAATGCAGGGGCGGGTCAACAAACTTCCAAAGGAAGGTGGTGGCATTTTTCATTTTTCCTAATGTTTCTTATGATTAAGTATGGATGGACACATGTAATAGGGTCACGGCTTATGATTAAATAGACAGTTGGCTATGCCGTTAGAGTTCGCTTTTTTGTTGCTTTTAGGGGTTTTGTTATATTTCAAAGGGGCAGAGGGTCCAGATCCCAGGCCCCAAAGACCTGTCTCTGTATTAGTTGTTTGATAACAACGAGACTTAGTGAAGAAATGTATTTTTAGAATACTGTTTTTTTGCCATCTTTGACATCTCTGTGATTTGCCTGTAAACACTGGGCACAGCTGTAAGATCCTGCGTTGTCGGTATTGTCAGCATACACTGTTGATATCTAAAGGACTTTTTTTGTTGGTTATGGTAAAGTTTATTAAAGTGAATAGGTACTTAGTGACCGAGTGGCCTGGACTGCCATTGTCAGGCTGAGTGTGCAGTGGTACGCCTTATATGTTTGGGAGTCTGATACGGTGGGAGTGACTAGTGTGCGTGTGTTTTTTTATGCAGGTGTGTGAGAGAGATGAGGGCTATTTTGTGTGATTTATTATGTATGTGTGTAAGAAGTGAGGGCTGTTTTGTGGTGAAGACGTTGTAAGAGTTAGGCGAGTATGACTGTAGTATATTGGTAGGGTATTACATGTCCACGTGGACTTATACATCTGCTGACTATAATGGATGCTCTATGTAAAGGCCTTAAGTTAGGATTTTATACTTTATGTAACAAATATTTCAGATATTGCTAAATAATTGCCCCTTTCTTTGCAATGGAACAATGTTTTTATTGAACAAGTTGATATTAGAAGATGAAATGGTCTTGCCAACAAAAACAAGTTGTAGGTAGGTTTTCAACTTATTAACTTTTGCAAGAGTGAAAACACCAGTCCTTTTTTCAGATATTTGCCTGGACCAACTTTTCATGCAGCTAGCAAAAATGATTTATTTTGCATTTTAATAAAATTATATATTTCAATTATATCATCATCATCATTCAGGCATTTATTTATGATTAACTCAAAATTATAAGTTTTATATATGTCAAGTTTAACTTTTAGATATTCAGTACTTACCTGTAGTGTACAAGTTCTGTGTGGTTACAGGTACCTAGTTATAGTCAATAATAGTACACATCTGTACACTTTTAAATACTAAGTAACTATAGATGTTATTGTGGGTTTGTATGAAGCTGTATAATTATATCTACTTTGTATGTAGCAGTACATTTATATATACTTTGTATGTAGCTCTACAGTTATATCTACTTTATATGTAGTTGTATGGTTATACGAACTTTGTAGGTAGCTGTACCGTTATATATACTTTGTATGTAGCTGTACATATATATATACTTTGTATGTAGCTCTACAGTTATATCTACTTTGTATGTAGTTGTATGGTTATACGAACTTTGTATGTAGCTGTACCGTTATATATACTTTGTATGTAGCTGTACATATATATATACTTTGTATGTAGCTCTACAGTTATATCTACTTTATATGTAGTTGTATGGTTATACGAACTTTGTATGAAGCTGTACAGTTATATATACTTTATATGAAGCTGTACAGATATGTATACTTTGTATGTAGCTGTACAGTTATAAATACTTTGTCTGTAGCAGTACAGTTATATATACTTTGTATGTAGCTGTACAGTTATATATACTTTGTATGTAGCTGTACAGATATATATTGTGTATGAAGCTGTACAGATATATATTGTGTATGTAGCTGTACAGTTATATATACTTTGTATGTAGCTGTACAGTTTTATATACTTTGTATGTAGCTGTACAGATATATTTTTTGTATGTAGCTGTACAGTTATATATACTTTGTATGTAGCTGTACAGTTATATATACTTTGTATGTAGCTGTACAGATATATAATTTGTATGTAGCTGTACAGTTATATATACTTTGTATGTAGTTTGTAGCTATACATGTACTTTTATATACTTAGTAATTATAAAGCTATACAGTCTTATGCGTGTAGTAGGTATATAACTGTACAGTTGTATGTAGCTGTTATGTATGTAGCTGTACATTTTATATTTTTAAGAATATACGCAACTGTAGTTTTATATACTTTGTATGTAACTATATAGTTTTATAGCTTTTGTGTGTAACTCTAAAGTTATCTATAATAAATATAAAGCTATTCAGTACAGATGTATATACTTCGTATTTATTTAACAATAGTTATATACTAAGTATGTGTGTAGCCTTACAGGTATATATATATATATTTTGTGTAGGTAGCCATACAGGTATATAAACTTTGTATGTTTATAGTCATACAGGTATGTAAACTTTGTATGTATGTAGCCTTACAGGTATATAATATTTGTATGTATGTAGTCATACAGGTATGAAGACTTTTTTTTAGTTTTATATGATTGGTATGTATGTAGCCATACAGATATATATATATACATTGTATGTATGTAGCCTTACAGGTATATACATTTGTTAGTTTTATAAACTTTGTATGTATCCTTACAGGTATATATATATACTTTGTTAGTTTTATATACTTTGTATGTAGTCTTACAGGTATATATATATATTCCTTGTCAGTTTTATATACTTTGTATGTAGCCTTGCAGGTATATATATATACTTTGTATGTAGTCTTACAGGTATATATACCTTGTCAGTTTTATATACTTTGTATGTAGCCTTGCAGGTATATATATACTTTGTATGTTAGTAGCCATACAGGTATATATACTTTGTCAGTTTTATAAACTTGGTCTGTTTGTAGCTATATAGGTATATATACGTTGTCAGTTTTATATACTTGGTATGTTTGTAGCTATATAGGTATATATACTTTGGTAATACTTGGGTCACAGTGGTACTTTTGTAGCTCATTAGGATAAGATTTTTTTTAACTCCAAGTGTACTTAATGAACTTAATACTTTTAAATTGATAGCAAAAGACATGATACATTTTATAGCATTTATACAATTCTCCAAAACACATTTGTGTACTATCTATTTAAATCTGATATTTTATTTTTTATATTTTCACTTAAACTCATTAAACACTACTTATTTTTGATACAATAGGGCATTTAAAGAGACACGTACCAGATATCGAGCTCACACCTGTTAGACCTTCGGTATATGATGTGACCTCTTGAATCTCTCGCTGTTGCTCTGACGCTAGCGTTACGCAGATTGCTAGGTGATCATTGCTTTTGTGCCTCTGTTGTACACGTTTATAATTTATCTATACATTAAATATTTACTAATTTTTAAAAAAGATATAAAACCGTTTTACTGTTGTCTTTTGAATTGGTTACAGATATTATTTCTAAATGCAACATCCAATGACATCTTTAACGCCATTTGAATGTCACGTCAATGTGATATCCCTGATTCGGTGTCGGGGAGCGCTAAACACGTGTGTGCTCTCGAATTTGATACCATTAGAAAACGACCGTTAAAACCTACAAACAATTTTATGTAATACATCTTATGTAGTAAATGTCGTTAGACATTGAACGCTAATACCTCAATTTGACGGAAAATATATAATTTGTTCAGATATCTTCGTTTCACGTTCAGTAACAGACAGGTGCGTGTTGTTTGGACCCTCTTTGACCATAAAACCTCTTCTTAATAGGCTCTATGTTAAACCCATTAGTCTTGGAAATAAAATGCCACGAGATAAACAGGGTACGGCGTGTCTGTAGACAAACAACTGTGGTGTAGTCCCAAAGGGCAATGCTTGGTTTAAACCTTTTCTTTACTGCTTGAACGACAGACGTTATTTTGTTATAAGTGATGGCATGTCTCGTTTGACATTTTGAAAACCAAATCATTACGTGTTGATGTGTCCGTTATCAACACGATCTAATACACAGTGATAATCAGGGTTGTGTTTTACTGGGTAATCCAAAACACAGTCACTATATAATGATATTCAGGGTAGTAGTCCAAAACACGGACACGATATAGTGATAATCAGGGTTGTGTTTTACTGGGTAATCCAAAACACAGTCACTATATAATGATATTCAGGGTATTAGTCCAAAACACAGACACAATATAGTGATAATCAGGGTAGTGTTTTACTATAGTCCAAAACACAGCTACGATATTGTTACAATAAGGGTTGTGGGTTTTTTACTGTGTAGTCCAAAACACAGCCTATATAACGATAACCAAGGTAGTTTTTACTGGGTAATCCAAAACACAGTGATAATCAGGGAAGTGTTTTACTGGGTAATCCAAAACACAGAGACGATATAGTGATAATAAGGGTAGTGTTTTACTGGGTAGTCTATCAAACAGACACGATGTAGTGATAATCAGGGTAGTGTTTTACCGGAAAGTCTATAACAAGAGTTTTACTGTAGTCCAAAACACAGCTACAATATTGTTACAATAAGGGTTGTGGGGTTTTTACTGTGTAGTCCAAAACACAGCCGATATAACGATATCCAAGGTAGTTTTTACTGGGTAGTCCAAAACACAGATACGATATAGTGATAATCAGGGTAGTTTTTTACTGGGTAGTCCAAAACACAGTCACGATATAGTGATATTCAGAGTAGTGTTGTGATAGGTAGTCCAAAACACAGACACGATATAGATATGCAGGGTAGTGTTTTACTGGGTAGTCTATCAAACAGACACGATGTAGTGATAATCAGGGTAGTGTTTTACTAGAGTCCAAAACACAGCTACGATATTGTTACAATAAGAGTTGTGGGTTTTTTACTGTGTAGTCCAAAACCCAGCCTATATAACGATAACCAAGGTAGTTTTTACTGGGTAGTCCAAAACACAGAGACGATATAGTGATAATAAGGGTAGTGTTTTACTGGGTAGTCTATAACACAGACACGATAAAGTTATAATCAGGGTAGTGTTTTACTGGGAAGTCTATACCATAGACACGATATAGTGATAATCAGGGCAGTGTTTTACTGGGTAGTCCAAAACACAGAGACGATATATTGATAATCAGGGTAGTGTTTTACTGTAGTCAAAAACACAGCTACGATATTGTTACAATAAGAGTTGTGGGTTTTTTACTGTGTAGTCCAAAACCCAGCCTATATAACGATAACCAAGGTAGTTTTTACTGTGTAATCCAAAACACAGAGACGATATAGTGATAATCAGGGTAGAGTTTTACTGGGTAGTCCAAAACACAGAGACGATATAGTGATATTCTGGATAGTGTTTTACTGGGTAGTCTATAACACAGACACGATATAGGGATATTCAGGATAGTGTTTTACTGGGTAATCCAAAACACAGTCACTATATAATGATATTCAGGGTATTAGTCCAAAGCACAGACACAATATAATGATAATCAGGGTAGTGTTTTACTGGTTAGTCCAATACACAGAGACGATATAGTGATAATCAGGGCTACGATATTGTTACAATAAGGGTTTTGGTTTTTTTACTGTGTAGTCCAAAACACAGCCTATATTACGATAACCAAGGTAGTTTTTACTGGGTAGTCCAAAACACAGAGACGATATATTGATAATCAGGGTAGTGTTTTACTGCAGTCCAAAACACAGCTACGATATTGTTACAATAAGAGTTGTGGGTTTTTTACTGTGTAGTCCAAAACACAGCCGATATAACGATATCCAAGGTAGTTTTTACTGGGTAGTCCAAAACACAGCCACGATATAGTGATAATCAGGGTAGTTTTTTACTGGGTAGTCCAAAACA